CACAGCCCTCGCCCTCCTCCCATAGACGCAGCCAGCCGCGGTGCTGGGGGGGCACCCCAAGGGTCAGATGGACAGATACACTCACACTGACACACACAAACAACCACACCCCAGCCCAAGCCATGGTATGTGCTTCCCACAACAAACACACAAGCACAAATGCTCTCTAAGTCAGTCACTGACAGAGCAATTCCTTCTTGGAAACTTACAGAGAGAGGAGACACTGCAGAACCCCAAACCAGCACCAAACTGCAAATAGGTCGTTTCTGTAGAATGGCTCGGTCCAAAACTGGAGAATGTTGATCTGGCTGTTATTCTGTAAAAGCCTGTGGCTCTTGTTATGTTCTACTCTGAGCTGAAGAAATATAATAAATGTTCCCTTCTGTCTTCAGTGCCCCATTGGGTTGGTCCTCTTCTGGATTGTTGGATTTCTATTTATGTTAATCTGTGTTTGTTCCAAATTCCTTCTTCTTTTGTTAACTTTTCTCAAATATTGTCTCCCCGGTTGTGTTTCTCCAGTTTTAGAGAAAGCAATTCAATTCTGCACGCAAAGGAGGAGGTGTGAGGAAATTGTACCCACCAAATACTTCTCTCTTCTCTTCTCCCCTCTTCTCTCCTCAGTCACAATGGCTGCCTTTCTTCATGTGCCAGTGTTCCTCGGCAGGGCAGGAATGGTGCAAGGGTTTCAAAAATGCCACAACATATAAAAGAATGCCACTCAATGTCTATTTCACATAGGCATTGATGTGGGGATGTCTCCACTCATACAAATCTATCATCTGCACAGACCAAAGTAATCTCCCATATAGATAACACACTGAAACATGCATCTACATTAAGATGGCATGTAAATGTCAATTTATGATGACATCCTTTCGATTTGATCATCCCTCTCTCTCTCACTTTCTCTCAGAGCCACTCTCTCTAGTGGAGCAGTGTGACATTCCTGGGTCTGGCAACGTTTTGTGTCTGCCAGTGAATCTGTCTGCATTTTGGGTATACAGTGGGGTAAAAAAGTATTTAGTCAGCCACCAATTGTGCAAGTTCTCCCACTTAAAAATATGAGATTTTCATCATAGGTACACGTCAACTATGACAGACAAATTGCGGGAAAAAAATCCAGAAAATCACATTGTAGTATTTTTAATGAATTTATTTGCAAATTATGGTTGAAAATAAGTATTTGGTCACCTACAAACAAGCAAGATTTCTGGCTCTCACAGACCTGTAACTTTTTCTTTAAGAGGCTCCTCTGTCCTCCACTCGATACCTGTATTAATGGCACCTGTTTGAACTTGTTATCAGTATAAATGACACCTGTCCACAACCTCAAACAGTCACACTCCAAACTCCACTATGGCCAAGACCAAAGAGCTGTCAAAGGACACCAGAAACAAAATTGTAGACCTGCACCAGGCTGGGAAGACTGAATCTGCAATAGGTAAGCAGCTTGGTTTGAAGAAATCAACTGTGGGAGCAATTATTAGGAAATGGAAGACATACAAGACCACTGATAATCTCCCTCGATCTGGGGCTCCACGCAAGATCTCACCCCGTGGGGTCAAAATGATCACAAGAACGGTGAGCAAAAATCCCAGAACCACACGGGGGGACCTAGTGAATGACCTGCAGAGAGCTGGGACCAAAGTAACAAAGCCTACCATCAGTAACACACTACGCCGCCAGGGACTCAAATCCTGCAGAGCTAGACATGTCCCCCTGCTTAAGCCAGTACATGTCCAGGCCCGTCTGAAGTTTGCTAGAGTGCATTTGGATGATCCAGAAGAGGATTGGGAGAATGTCATATGGTCAGATGAAACCAAAATAGAACTTTTTGGTAAAAACTCAACTCGTCGTGTTTGGAGGACAAAGAATGCTGAGTTGCATCCAAAGAACACCATACCTACTGTGAAGCATGGGGGTGGAAACATCATGCTTTGGGGCTGTTTTTCTGCAAAGGGACCAGGACGACTGATCCGTGTAAAGGAAAGAATGAATGGGGCCATGTATCGTGAGATTTTGAGTGAAAACCTCCTTCCATCAGCAAGGGCATTGAAGATTAAACGTGGCTGGGTCTTTCAGCATGACAATGATCCCAAACACACCGCCCGGGCAACGAAGGAGTGGCTTCGTAAGAAGCATTTCAAGGTCCTGGAGTGGCCTAGCCAGTCTCCAGATCTCAACCCCATAGAAAATCTTTGGAGGGAGTTGAAAGTCCGTGTTGCCCAGCGACAGCCCCAAAACATCACTGCTCTAGAGGAGATCTGCATGGAGGAATGGGCCAAAATACCAGCAACAGTGTGTGAAAACCTTGTGAAGACTTACAGAAAACGTTTGACCTGTGTCATTGCCAACAAAGGGTATATAACAAAGTATTGAGAAACTTTTGTTATTGACCAAATACTTATTTTCCACCATAATTTGCAAATAAATTCATAAAAAATCCTACAATGTGATTTTCTGGATTTTTTTTCCTCATTTTGTCTGTCATAGTTGACGTGTACCTATGATGAAAATTACTGGCCTCTCTCATCATTTTAAGTGGGAGAACTTGCACAATTGGTGGCTGACTAAATACTTTTTTCCCCCACTGTACATGTGAAATAATGTAATGTAATATCTCTCAGTTGTATTGTGCAATTTTAAAAACACGTGTTTTTTATTATTATTTGGTAAACAAATTGTTTTAAGCTGAGATACAAAGAGACACATTGTTCTGCCTTGAGAGTTTCGAGTTTCATTCGCAAGGAGCGCATGATGCACAGTCAGTGAGAGATCAACAAGCTTATTAATTAACTGTGGTGTGTGTGTGTGTGTGTGTGTGTGTGTGTGTGTGTGTGTGTGTGTGTGTGTGTGTGTTTGTGTGTGTGTGTGTGTGTGTGTGTGCGTGTGTGTGTGTGTGTGCGTGCGTGTGCGTGTGTGGGAGAGAGAGAGAGAGAGAGAGAGAGAGAGAGAGAGAGAGAGAGAGAGAGAGAGAGAGAGAGAGAGAGAGAGAGAGTTATCAGAATGTTCAATTACTGTAGGTAGAAGACTCCATTCTATGGAAATTACATACTGTAACAGTAACACACACATATTATAATAAATCCTCTTGGATAAGAGGATGTCTTGAATCATGTCCAAATTAAAATGGACATTTTTTATTTATTTTATTTTTGAATGTCTGTTCATGATGACGATTCATTATTTCCTCCCCGCAAAAAAAAAGATGCTTACGATGCTTGTACATTTTCTTAAAAGTACTGTGTCAGGGTAATATATATATTTTAAATTCTGAAGTTTCTGTTCCTTGAATGTGGTCATAGCTGGCCAGTGGCCAGTGCACAGGCTCATTGCCACCACTGTACTGTCTTTAAATAGTCAAAGGCATGGCTACATCCGTGTAGCTCAGGTGGTAGAGCATGGCGTTTGCAACGCCAGGGTTGTGGGTTCGATTCCCACGGGGGGCCAGTATGAAAAATGTATGCACTCGCTAACTGTAAATTGCTCTGGATAAGAGCGTCTTGCTAAATGACTCAAATGTAAATGTGATTTCTGACGTCAGAGCATGTGAGGTTCCTGGTTTGACGCCGTCCACGTATCAGTGCCAGGAAGTTAGCGCACGTGGTCGGTAGATTTTCCACATGAACCTGGTGACGGTACAAAAATAAAAGTCCTCTCTGATAAATAGAAATAGACAGTATTTCTGAAAGTACAATTATAACATCTTAAGTCTCTAAGAAAATCAAGCTCTACTGCATGAATTATATCTGCTTAAAAAGTCAGGAAAAAGCACACCATTTTCATTGATTACGCAAAACATTTAATTTGAACGAACCACGCATACGCCACCGGATGCAGTATCTGATTGTTCTGACTTTACGCATGCTCCAAGTCTCTGAACAGGAAGCAATAAATAAGTCCAAACAACTGCACTGGACAAGGGAGACCTATTTCAGGTGATATCTTCATTTTTTCTTGGCAGTAATTTACACACTCTGTACTATATTCTTCGGGCGTCAACTTTCCCGCGATGACAATTCCGTTGGTGTAAAATACGTTGAAGTAAGTATTTTCATTCATGTATGATCTTCTGGGTGAGTGACATTGGTAACATTCATCCAGTGGTGACATCTTAGCTGCAATAACTCAATCAGAAGAGTTTAGTGTGAATGTCTAGCTAACTTGACCATATCATTAATGTTCATGTTTACTGCCGCTATAAGCTGTATAATGGACTTAAGACTCTAGTTTCTGATGATTTACAGGCAGGATTGTCAAGCATAACATAGCAGTTCAATGGCATTTTAGAATTGAATATGCTGCTGATGTGTCTTGAAAAAAAGGTTATGCCAGGGTTCAGTCATATTCAGGTGATGTCATGGAGTTAATTGCAACTGCAGTATAATGTGATTTGCGGCAGAGACACTCTCTCTCTTTACTGCACCTACAGTGCCTTCAGAAAGTATTCAAATGTATTGAAAATGAAATAGAGAAATAAAACATTTACATAAGTATTCAAACCTCTGAGTCAATAATTTGTAGAAGCACCTTTGGCGGCGATTACAGCTGTGAGTCTTTTTGGGTACGTTTCTAAGAGCTTTGCACACCTGGATTCTACAATATTTGCCCATTATACTTTAAAAAATGATTCAAGCCGATTTAAGTCATAACTGTAACTAGGCCACTCAAGATCATTCAATGTCGTCTTGGTAAGCAACTCCAGTGTAGATTTGGCCTTGTGTTTTAGGTTATTCTTCTGCTGAAATGTGAATTTGTCTCCCAGTGTCTGTTGGAAAGCAGACTGAAACAGGTTTTCCTATAGGATTTTGCCTGTGCTTATAGCTGTATTCAGTTTATTTTTGTCCTACATTACCAATCGGTGCCCTTCTTTGCGAGACATTGAAAAACCTCCCTGGTCTTTGTGGTTGAATCCGTGCTTGAAATTCACTAATCAATTGAGGGACCTTATAGATAATTGTATGTGTGGGGTACAGAGATGGGGTAGTTATTCAAAAATCATGTTAACCACTATTATTCAACACGGAATGAGTCCATGCAACTTATGCGATTTGTTACATTTTTACTCCTGAACTTATTTAGGCTTGCCATAACAAAGGGGTTGAATACTTATTGACTTGACATTTCAGCTTTTCATATTTTATTAATGTAGAAAATGTTCTACCAACAGAATTCCACTTTGACATTATGAGGTATTGTGTGTAGATCAGTGACACAAAATCTAAATGTAAAACATTTTAAATTCAGGCTGTAACACAACAAAATGTGGAAAAGGTACTTTCTGAAGGCACTGTATGTTACCTTTTCATCCTCTGTATCCTGGTCGTACAGGTACACTAAGTGGTGACGGGACTGTGGGTGGTGTGGGGCACTGTTATTGAATAGTTGAACCACATACCTCTTGCCATTTATTTTCTAGCTTTACGAGCACTCCAGGTTTTATGGGTGGTTCTCTCTAAAACAAAAGGTAACCTGGGCTGTCCTGAAATACTATGACAGTCTCATTAAAATGAATAGCCAGGCATTGATCTAAGTTAGATCTGAGGCAGAGCACATCTCTAGTATGTTGCTATGTGCACTAATGATTGTAGTGTGTTGCTGGTGTGTGATGTGTTTTGTCTTTGTAAGGCAGGTGGTCACGATGGCACAGAAGGTCCTAGTGACAGGGGGAGGAGGCTACATTGGCAGCCACTGTGTGGTGGAACTGATTGAGGCAGGATTCTGCCCTGTGGTCATAGATAACTTCAGCAATGCTGTCCAAGGTAAGTGTCCTTAGTTTGCCCAGTGTGGCTTTGCGAGTAGGCTAATACGGCATATGACACCCTATCTGTTTGACAGTAACTGTTTGTTTTCTGTGTGATGCTGATAACAGTTACAGTAAAGGTGTGTTTGTGTATGTGCAAGCATGTGTGTTAATCATTGTTCCACATCCTTTTGTTTTGTGGAGGAGAAAGGGATGTCCCTGAGAGCCTGCGGAGAATAGAAAAGATCCTGAACACCAGCATTGAGTTCTATGAGCTGGACCTGCTAGACTGCACAGGCCTGGATAAGCTCTTCAAACAGGTTGCAAACTACACACATCCCTGCTGAACAGTGTTCATATGCATAGGCTTTAACTAGGCCCCAGAGTTTTCCCTCTTCAGGTCACGAGTCAGGGACAACTCCTGGCCCTATTAGTATTTTTGCTTAAGACCTTTGTCTATGTTAGGTTTTTACCTGTTTGTCTCTGTCTTAATGTCTTAACAGCATTCATTCAGTGCTGTAATGCACTTTGCTGGTCTGAAAGCAGTGGGTGAGTCAGTTGAGCAGCCATTGAGGTACTATCGGGTCAACCTCACCGCAACCATGAACTTGCTTGAGGTAAGCGAGAACACCTCAATCTTAGCTTGCCTTGCATTATTTGAAGTGACCTATTATGGAATGGCATTCACTGCTGCTTGCCTAGAACTGATACCTAAGTGCATGAGTGCTTGTGGGTTGATTTGATAACTTTGTAGCACTGTACTTGTCTTTTACTTTTGACCAGCTACTAGTGTTGCTTGCAATAATCTCAACCCACTTCCTGATGTTAGTCTGTATGCCTAAGCGTGTGTGTGCTTTAGATTGCTGTCTCAAGGGCTGCTGTCTGTCCGTGTGTGTCGTGTGTGTGTGCATCTGCATGTCTCCCAGGTGATGCAGACTCATGGCGTGCGCAATCTGGTCTTCAGCAGCTCAGCCACGGTGTATGGAGACCCCCAGCGGCTTCCCATAGACGAACAGCACCCTGTTGGGGGGTGCACCAACCCTTACGGCAAGACTAAGTTCTTCATAGAGGAGATGATTATGGACCAGTGTAAGGCAGAAAAGGTACTGTACCTACCTACCCCAGGTTCTCTATTCAACATCACACACCCTGACCATTTGTCACATACGCCCCATGCATTATAGATGTCCTGAATAACAGTGTGTATAACAATTTGTACAACGATAATAATGCCCATACCACTGTATGTATTCACAGGACTGGAACGCGGTGCTGCTGCGGTATTTTAACCCCATCGGGGCGCACTCCTCTGGGCTCATCGGAGAAGACCCTCAGGGCATTCCCAACAACCTGCTGCCCTATGTCGCCCAGGTAACCACAAACAATGTTTATCCACCTTGAATGACGTGATATACCACTTTGAGTTATTCCTTTTCTAATCTCTGTTCTTTTCACCGGGATGTAGTATTGTAATTGACTTAACTTTAGGTGCTGTGGCTCTCTTCTCTAACCCAGGTGGCCATTGGGAGAAGAAAACACCTCAATGTGTTTGGGAACGACTACGACACTATTGATGGAACAGGTAATGATGACTGACTTTATGCTTAAACAAAAGAGGGTTGATTGACATTGATTGAAAACAGCACTGAATAGAATTCAATCAATCATAACCGTCTGATGGTAAATGTCAGATCATAATTTTTTACTGAAATGCATCCAATTGTGAATAATCCTTCTCCTCTTTCTCTCTTTAGGAGTGCGAGATTACATCCATGTTGTGGATTTGGCCAAAGGACACATAGCTGCCCTCAAGAAACTGAAAGACAATTGTGGGTGCAAGGTACAGTATACCGGCTGCCTGAATTACCTGAACACACTATTACCTGAGTGATCTTTCCTGTCTTTCCTCATTCATTCGCAATTTCTCTTGTTTCATCTGTTTTAATATAGAAATGTGACATTTCCCCGCTCTCTCACTCTCTAGGTGTATAATTTAGGAACAGGAACCGGTTACTCTGTGCTCCAGATGGTAAAGGCTATGGAGAAGGCCTCAGGGAAGGAAGTGAGTGACCTGACCCTCTTTTAAAAACTTCAGAGCCTTCAACCATCAGTATTCCTAGATTACCTTATTACCTCTTAATTACAGGGAATGGAATCCTTTTTAGATCTACATGTGTATTAAGGGGCTACTTCATGCAATACCTGTGACGGCTAATTTCAGACCAAACCATTTCACGTGAGGGTGGTTGTACTGTAATGATTGTCTTTGCCACAGATCATGTACCTGATCGCCCCCCGGCGAGGAGGAGATGTAGCATCCTGCTATGCTGACCCCCTTCTGGCTGAGAAAGAGCTGGGCTGGAAAGCTGACTTCGACCTGGAGAGAATGTGTAAGTACACCTTTATTGAACTACTACCCCTTACTTTCACTGTTACTCTGAGTCTGTACATCATTTGTCAACACAACACGACAGCTCCAGGTCTCAGTACAATGCACAATCTTGATTACATAGAGCAAATGTTTATTCTCATAATGTCATGCCTCTGGTTGTCTCCAAAGGTGAGGACCTGTGGCGTTGGCAGTTTAAAAACCCCACCGGATTCACCAATAACAGCCCATCAACAATATGATGTCACTCAATGCTCATCTCATCTTCTTCACTTCCTCCTAAGTTACCGGGCCAAAGCAAATCATAAAGTTCCTAATTTTTCTATCACATTCACACATGAAGAGACCTCAAGACAAAATGAGTGATTTATATTTCATAGTGATTTAATATTATGTTGTTGATTCCATACAGCTACTTTCACTAAGGCTGTTCTCTAATGCTTAGGTGACAAATACCATGTCTTATTGCTGTCTTATTATTTGTATGTATTGTCATAGACATTTTCTCTAATTATATAATAGTTGAGTGTATAGCCATACAAATGGGGAAATAAATACATTTTCTAAACAAAGAAAATGTATTGTATTATTGTGTTTTGATTTCATTGGTCACATCAATCATTTTTCATCGACCCTGGTAAGAGATGCTGTGGTGTATGTGGTGCTTGATTGAATGGATTGTTTGAGTATGGGGGCGAATAGAGCATATCGGGCAGCGGGCGAACCAGGTCACCTTTTGAATATCATACCTTTGTTGTGGTAGAGCATTGGCAGAGACCGGGGAGTGTAAGCAGGCTATAGTGTATGGGGAGTGATTCAGGCCAAAATTAAGTCTAGGCAACAGTACCACCAAGTGCCTCTCGTCTACTATTGGACATCTGGCTGTCATGAGGTGATACCAACGCCTTACTAACGTCTGTGTGACGCCTGCGTGTTAATAAAAATCATAAGGTGCATAGTTTAGATCAATTAAATAATAATAATATGCCATTTAGCAGACGCTTTTATCCAAAGCGACTTACAGTCATGTGTGCATACATTTGTCCCTACCTCAATCAAGTACAAATGTAAAATGGTTAAGGTAAGGGTTAAGTTTAGTGTTCGGTAAGAGTTATGGTTATAGTCAGGGGCGCAACTGTCACGGGACGGGAGGACATGACCCCCACACACTCTGAAATTGCATTTTTGTCCCCCCCCCCCAGTTTTATCATTGCACTGTGATACAAAAAGAGGTCCGTTTGAGGACGCTACAGTCACCCCTGGTGGAGGTTCCTGGAACTGCTATTTAAGTCTGCACAGAGGTTGACGGTGCTATGTTGCATGTTCTCTTGAATATCAGGCAGCAGTTTGTTGAGTACAGGTTGAACTTGTTGAGTATACTCTTTGAAACAGAGGTTCCAACAGGGTTCTTTGGCTGTCACCAAAGGAGAACCCTTTTTGGTTCCAGGTAGAAGAATTTTTGGTTCCAGTAAGAACCCTTTTGGGTTTCATGTAGAACCCTCTGTGGAATGGAACCCAAAAGGGTTCTACCTAGGCACCAAAGGGGCTCTACCTGGAACCAAAAAGGGTTCTACAAAGGGTTATCCTATGGGGACAGCGGAAGAATCCTTTTAGGTTCTAGATAGCACCTTTTTTTCCTAAGAGTGTAGGCCTATATTGCATTGGTGGTTCCATGTTTTTTTTGCAAACAGAAGACAAAGAAATTGACAAAACAATGAAAAAATTGACAACATTCGTCAATGTTATAAAATAAAACAAAACCTGTTGATCAAGTGTAGCATTTTGAATTGCATTAACATAAATTACCGTAAATCAACAATGTAGATTATAAAATACGGGAATTAACGGTGAACATTTACTGGTGGTGAAAAATAAAACAGGGAATTTATCAACATGAACAAACAAAGGGTAGCCTAAACAATTCACACAATGACGCAATTAATGCGCACGATTTGCCGGGAGACAGAAACATGCCTTGCGTCTTCACCACACACCCATTCCCTCCTTGTCTAGACATTTTTTTGAAATTACACTAATCTTTACAAGGAATACGCCTAGGCGTAACCTTAAAAATGTGGTCAGGTATAAAGCAGTACTCATTAATGGAAAACAAATGAAAAATCAAAGAGCCCATGCGGAGCATTGAAAACAATTATTTTTTACCAATGCCTGTTTAATCATAAAAAGCAGAAGATCATTAATCACAATGGTTAGCCTATGCAAATTAATCGGAAAACATTCCAACCTTATTAATAGGACTACATTTAGCCTAATTGGGAACACATATGGCGAGAAGTCAAAGGCTATTGTTTGTCAAATCCCGATTAAATATAGGCCTTCATGTGTATCAAATCTGTAGGCAATAGTGGGCTACATCAATGAGAAATATAGCTGAAATATTTAGGCTTTATCATGATCTGTGATCAAAATAGGCTGGGGCGGGGGGGGGGGGGGGTCGGTTCTGTTTAAGCTAAGGTTATGCATAAAAATGCAACTGCACTGAAATGAATAGCCTGATTCAATGCAATTCTCCTGAGAGATAAACATGTGTTTATCTGTTAAGCTGTTTGCTCTATGAATAGACCAATATCGCTTCTATACTGATTCTATCTTTTTGGTATTTTGCTATAGGCATAGCCTACCACTAATATTCTAAATTGCGGAGCATTTAAAACGACCATATTTTTCGTGGGATAATGACACTTGCTTTACATTTAAAAGTGAATGTTTTCATAAGCCTATAGGCCTACCAAGAACCCATGTTGAGGCTGAGCAAGACCTTCAATGGGCTAGTAGAATATGCAGAAATAATCGTGGAGTTAATCATTGTTATAGCCTAGATCGCTTTATATAATCTGGACCATTGTTTTTTCGAAGGCTAAGCAAGCAAGGGGTAGCCTATGCTTTTTGCCCGTCTCTATAACAAGGGTTAGGCCTATATCCTCACATACCCAGTCAATTCAAGCCCTGCTTTTAACCATAAGACATCTCCACAGAAATTGATAGCCTAAGGATTGCATGGTGACAGTGATTGTGTCTGTTAAACAGGTAAACTTGTGGTAAACTGGGAACTCTGGGGAGAAAAACAAGATCAAATCATGACAGTGATTTTCAGGTCGGAAAGTTGGAGAAAGATGCCAGAATTTCCGAATAGAAATTCCGAGTTGGATGACCATTCAAAATAATTTGTTTATTTTTAGTTCCCAGTTGTCTTGAACGCACTGAAGTCGGAATTCAGAGATTGCCGAATTCCGAGTTCCCAGTTGTTTTGAACGCTGCGCTAGAGACCTAGCTAACATATTCTATCTGAATAGGGCTCCCTCCAACAAATAAGCTCTCTTGTTCATATTGATTTGAGAAATAGGCATACCTACACAGTAATGGTGGCTGGCTGCAAATCAACTAGCCATATTTTATATAGAGGGGATATGCATATTTTAGCTAAATTGACAAATTCAATTAATTAGATTACTCTGGCAATGGATAATATATGAAAAAAATAATGTAGACGTTTGTAAGGGGATCAGAAGTGTCTGGTGTGAGAGAGGCAGATTGAAGTGCCCGGAGTCAGAGTAGTGCAGAAGATGTCATATGCTGAAGCAGTGAAAAAAGTAGGAGGATGGGGTCAAGGGTGAGGGATCCTAGTGAGGAGTAGATTGGTGCCAGCACAGAGCCAACGAGTGATACATGCTTCAGTAAGGTTGGCTTCTTAGCGTTCATAACAATGGTTATCAACTGTCCTGCAGAAATGGAATGTACTGTAAATCACAGAAAATAGATGTTCTGGTGCCAGCTGCAGTGAAGTATTTGGGTATGCGAGATTTGACTTCAGAAGAGTTACAGGGTGTGTTGAGTGTCCGATCCTCCCAGGCCGTTGGCATGGTGCAGGAGAAGATCGGGTCAAAGTTGTGGAATGGGGTAGTGGGTAGTGTAGGTGGCAGCTGCAGGGAGGTACCTGAGTGTACAACATTTTACTGCAGAAGAGTTATAAGATATTTTCAGACTTTGATTTTTGTATTTTTTCCCCCCTTCCTTTTTATTTTTGTATCACAAATGTAATGTGATTGAACACACGGTACTGCATAGTAGGTGGCGGCATGCACTAACAAAATGTGCGAACGCCATGATACCTGTCACGATTCTCTAAAGCAGAACCCAGAAGCAGACCAGGACAAGGTGAGTAGAACGAAGGTGAGTATTTATTTACAGACTCAAATGTGGAAGCAGAATAATCCAGGAGACGGAGCGGGCAGCGGAGGTGAGTTGGTAGGAGTGAATAGGCAGATCCAATGGTGTCACAGAAGCCACTGACGACCAGGCAGGGGTGGGGTGAATGTTCTGGGAGAATGACTGTAGACAGAGTAAACGGAGGTGAGTACACGGCAAGCAAAAAGTACAGAACAATGTTGGTGTTTAAATTATATGGAGAGGGAGTACAAACCAACGACGCTGGACAGAGTGGAATTGGGTTAAGCAAAAGGCAGTTTATTAAAACAGAGATATCTTGTCCTGCTAATTAACATGCATGGAATCCTGCTAATTAACATGCATGGACCTAATCATATGGCTCTCTATGGAGTCAGCTGAGAAGGGTGTTTAAACAGAGTTTACAGCATTACTTTATACAATGTAACATAAAGGGAGGGATTCTTCTCCTAGTCCCTCGATTGGTTCCAGAGGCGTGGGAGGCGGATCTGCTCTGTCCAGAGCAGATGCCCCATTGGTGCACGGCAGAGTCCTCTGCCCTTGGCACCCGACCAGTAGACAGGGGAGTGGAGTGTGAGTGTGCGTGCACAGTGAAATGTCTGTGTGTGTCAAGGGAACTCGTGAGAAGAAGGAACTGGTGATTGGGGCCTGTGGCGTGGGTGTTGTCCTGTTATTGCACTCCTGTAAGATTAGGCCATCTGGTGACAAGATATGGTGTTCTCCTCTGTCCTTTGTTCTTGCACAGGAACAGCATTTATTGAAAACAAGCTCCTAACACAAATGGGTCTTGCACAACCTCTTGCACAACATATTAGTCAGATCAATCTGTAACATTTTATATTTACTACGACAACAACAAAACTAACTCTAGTAAACTTGAGGCTGATACGCTGACACAACATACTGTTCATGGCTAACGATCCGGCAGGGAATGGATGTCAGGTCAGAGCTTATGAAGTGGAGAGGTGATGATCAGGACCAGGTGTGCAGATAGCTGATGAGATGCAGGTGCGGGTAAACGAGAGATCTCCCGCCTAGCCTCGTCGCCCGGCAACCAGACAGGGTGCGTTCAGGAACCTCAGGAAACAGACTCCAAGACAGAAAACAGGCAACTCAGGCAAAAACAGACTCAGGAAGCGGGATTCATGACAATACCAAAGAAGAGAAGGACGATCACCTGGGAGAGTTCCAAAAGCTTGAGCGGGAAACGACGGCTGAGAAGCTGTCCGCGTTTAGTGAATTAGGATAGATAAACAACGATTATTCAATATAGCTAAATCAATAGATTTGAACAAAGCTTTAACAAAACGGGGAGGAAATCCAGTGGAGGTGGTTGAGCCCGTACATTGACTTTGCA